ACGGGCTGGGGAAGTCCCCCCCCCAAAACCCCCCTGCCGTTTTTCCCAGGCTCCGCTGCCCCTCCTACGGGCCCGGCATCTCCGCGACGTGTATTGCATCGCTTTCGGTCCCTGAGCTGTCATTGCTCGGCTCCTGAAGCCAAGCAGTAAGCCATTGAAGTGTGATCTGCGCTTCAATAGCTTATTTAAAGTGGAGATGTGACACTCCGGGTCTTTTGGACCCCCAGTATCACCTTAAAGAGAACCTGTCACCACTAATATGCTATCACATGGGGTGCTTGTAAGCCCCCCTATGTGATGGCAATTTAAAGTAAAAAAAAATTAAATAAATGTAAAAATAATTTTAAAAAATTAAGTCATCTGCTCCTGTGAGCACGTGCGCATTCACGTAAACACGCATCAGGTGCGCCTACATATGAAAATGTCGATCACGCTACACATGTTGGCTATTGCCGCACATGCCAGAGTGAGAGCAATAATTCTAGGGCCAATATTTACGTGTATCTCTAAATTGGGGCTCTTAAAGCGTCATCTATGGACTTTTTGGGGTCCTTAAAGGGTTAATATTACTTTAAACTCCACACTCTGTGTATTAATCAATGGCTAACATGGTACAAGACAATCTTCATATAAATAAATATATTACAGCAATATGAATATGGTACAGAGGGGTGCATGGTGATGGGAGATGATGTATTGCTTTTGTAAATAATGTACTCTTACTGAGAGCAGTCTCAGTATATGATTTATCTTTTATTGTGATATAAGGCAACCGAGCTGTGCTTGTGTTATTCAACGTTGTAATATAAGCCCTAAAGTGTTTTGAAATATATACTCTCTAACAACTGTGTTTTCAAATATGATCATAGTATAGTAAGTATTGCTGCAATCTTTGAAAAATAACTCTATTGGAAACTTTATTAACCTTTTGCAGTGGTGCTACCCCCACATTGCAAGGGTTAACTGTTTGTTTTGGTCTAGTGAGGAAAGTAACAACATTATACTCACCCGATCCCCGGAGCCGGCTGGCTGTGACAGCGCTCCCTCCACACAGTCTATTGGACAGGATTACTCAGGATCCTTAGATCATAGCAGCGGAGGGGGAGTGAAGCTGGAAGGACCAGTCTAAGAGCAAGTTGGCTCTGAGGATCGGTTGAGTATAATTTTTTTTTATTGTAGCACTAGATGAAAACGAGCAGTTAACTCTTGCACTGCAAGGGTTAATAAAAGTTCTTCTTGAAACTATAATGAAAAATTAGAAAATATGGCTTGTTTTAATATTTATTGCTGTGTCTTCCTTAGGACGCAGGCTGAGATGGCCCACACCTGCCGGGGAACCATTAATCTGTCTACAGCTCACATTGACACAGAAGACTCCTGTAACATTGTCCTTTCCAATGGTGGGCGGACATACCATCTCAAGGCAAGCTGTGAAGTGGAAAGGCAGAGATGGGTCACTGCTTTGGAGTTGGCCAAAGCCAAGGCTATCCGCATGATGAACAACCAGTCAGGTAGAGTCCCTCACAGTGCTCAGAAGGAAATCACAGACCATTGCTTCCATTACATGTTTCTACCTGGGGGCTTGTTCATGTTAGAAGCAATGTCATGCATGTTGCACAGGCTAAATGCATGGACGTTAGAAAAGCCGTTATTGTTTATTGAGTAAATTTACACTAATACGTCGCATTGCGTAGGGAAAAAAAAATTGCATTTTGGGTTAGTTGACCTGCACTTTGCTGTTAAAATGATTTCAGATGCAGCACAAAGCATCTTAAATTCAACACAATGCATTGAATGCACACGTTCTAATGTGAACAAGCCCTGTAGCAAAGTTCCACAATCTTAGACTCTCTCCATAGAACGGGATCGGACGTGGAGGGAGATTTCAATCACCGCAGGGAAATAGATATCGTAATTTCTGCAGCTTGCTGCACAAGCTTGAAAGGTCGGCTTTTTTTGACCGAGCAAGTTTATGTCCCTGCTTATGGGAGAGCGGATAAGGTGACGACTTAAAAAAAAAAGCGTCAACATACATCTGCCAGTTATATTTAGTATCTTCTAAAAGGGTCTGATTGAACGCTCTTCTGCCCATCTATACACAGGAATTTGCTATACTCCTCAGCTCCAATCTATTGGCAGCAGTGCCATGCAAAAGGCATCTGCCCAGCGTAAAGCTGGAGTTATAAATCAGCCCCCAAGATTTTTGATTTGAATCAAGATTGTCAGAATTAAAGAGAACCTATACTGATGTTCAGTACTTTTAGTCAAGTAAATATAAAATATATTGCATGTGACTATATACCAGAAATGTAGTAACCCTCTGTTGACTCTGCACCTCTGTTTTCAATGACTGACCAAATTAACTTTATTGGAACAAGTGGCTAAAGCACGCCACAGGCTTCCTTTGATGTGTTTTGCTCCTTAGTGGGGCTTAAGGTGGCAGTACACTGCAGATTTTAGGTGGTTCCTCGAGGAACTTTTCACTGTTGGCACTCTTTTGGCTGGCATTCCTACATCAACTGATCGAAGGAGCTGGCCAGAAAATCCTCAAACGAACAGAGCTGGCAGCCAATGAGCTGCTGGCTCTGTTTAGGTACGCTGTAAGAATACAAAAGGAACAGCAGGGATTCCTCGATCAACGCACTTGTAGCATTGATGGAGGAATCGGCTCTATTTTTTTAGTTCAGCCCGCGGGTTCAACAAGAAAAATAGAGCAACCCATGGGCAGCCTTAGTTGTAGAGGTCTGACTAATGGGCAAAGTATGTCTGAGAAGGACAGCCTATGGAGCCCTTTGTCCACTTGTAATCTAAAGATACTTAGCAAACCAGGACAGCAGTGTGCAGCCTTAATATTTGGTATTTCTTCTGCAACCAGCAAGTGGGTTCCTATGTGAGGCTTGTTTTTGAATTCTCTTGCTTTCAGGCAGCTGCTGTGATTCAAATTTACCTGAATTACTCATAGGAGGGGGACAAACCCTTCTCTGCTAGCAGAGATGGCAAAACCTTAAAGGAGAACTATGGGGTTAAGGCTTTTCCCCATAGTTCTCCTTAGGGTAACAGGAGGACACAAACTAGCGTCCTCCCGTCACCCTAGGCTCAGTATACCGTGAGCTGCTGCTCGCGGTATACTGAGACGCTGAAGCGGATCCTGACAATTGTGCCGGGATCTGCCCAGCTGCGTGAGTGACAGTTGGCTCTGCCTATCTAGAGGCAGAGCCAGCTGTACCCGCCCCCTCCCCCGTCCGTTACGCCAGTCAGCGCTGGAGGATCGGAGGGGGGAATCCGGCCCCTCCCCTGTCACGGCAGAGAGCTGTGACAGGATCGAGAGGTGAGCAAACTCCGGTATGTGTTCGCTTACCTCCTGATCTACTGAGCCGACCTGTGACAGTCTCATTCTCACAGGTCGGCTAGAACTATGAGGTGAGTGGAAATAACTCACCTCATAGTTGTCCTTTAACTTGTGGATTAGCACAGCCTGCCAAAAAGCATAAGGACTTTTTCCACAATGTGACAGTAAGGGGCACTACCCTCTCTTACATCTGCCAAGAGGCCAAATTTGCACATCTGTGTTCAGTGGCTGGGTCTGCATGACCAAATGATACCAGCAGGTTTAGGCTATGACTGCTTTATGTTTTCTATTGCTTCTCCTGATGGATACCCCCATAGGAAGAACAGTTGGGGGGCTTGGTTAATGGGTGCTGAATCCCCTTCTTTCAACGCAGTTTAAACAGAGCCTACTACGGTACTACTTTAAACAGAGGCTAGTACTGTTTTCAACAGAGGCTAGCACTGGCCTTTCTTATCATTCCTGTAGCGCATTTTTCATACATCAGCCGGTTCTGTATACCTGTAATACCTTTTGATAAAGCTTCAACTTCTCAGAAAGGAATTAATTCCCCCTTTTTCCACTGTTTTTTCGCACGCTAGAATACAAATTGGTAAATGATAACAGATGGTTCTTTTGTTTTATTACTTTGTTCAAGTTCGTACTCATTGTGCAAACGCACTTGTGGGTGTAAGCTGTTACCTTAATAGAAATGTAATTTCTAAATATAATTTATGCATACCGGTAGTTGGCATCTCCACCTACACGGGGCTATTTCCAAAGTAAAAGTAAGCGCTTCTCGGACAACAGTGGCGGACCCTCGCAGAGTAATTACAAGGCTTTGGTTTGCCCCGAAGCTTGGCATTCAGCATAACTGATGACAGAGAGGTAGGAACAAACAAGTTGGTAAATGCTTCATCTTTTACAGCTGTATACCCCCTGTGAACCAAAGCAATAAAAAAAAAGGGTAAAAAAATGCCCCATAATTAGAACAATTTTCTCTCCTCACCCCATTGGAACTTTAATGTTAAAGGAGTTCTAAAGTCCCAGCATATACATGGTACTAGCCTGTTATAACATCAGCATTGTAATAGGAATATATACTAGGGGGGGGGGGGGGGGGGGTGTTTTTAA